ATAAACCTGAACCAGTAAATGTAGTACCCAAATAATAGTCCAATTATTTCAGTTGCACTTGCTGTCAGAATGAAGCCAGTTAACTTCCGCGGTGCTCAGGAGATTAAAAAGAGGGTGGCTATTACCCCCAGGAAAAAGCAGACACTGTTTTCATAATGTCTGTGGACAAAGTGTCTACAAAGCCAACGCATCCTGATACATTTCTAAAAGATCTGTCTGAGACATTCTCTGTTTTGGCAAATGTGCTAATGTCTCCAAGGAGATCTGTGCAGATTTTCGGAAATGATATGCTTCATTTCAAGAGGTTAGTTACACCAAGCGGCGTGTCTTCTACATTTTTGACAGCATTTCTTCCCACTCCATCCTTGTCTCAAAAGAAAAAAATTAAACCCAAATGAAATCCATTATAATGTTCATTGCATCAAGCTCTGGCTGAGAGGTCTTACTATGCAAAAGCTCTAATGTGTATGAACCGTCATTGTAAAGATGCTTAGCCACACTCATAGAAGATCAACATTTTTAAGGTATCAAAAGCCAGAAGTCCACTACTATTGAACTGATGTTATCAGTAGCTCTTAAGTAGCTCATGGGCTGTTTCTTTGTCAGGTTAATAAAAAATTTTAAAAAATTAACCTCCTGAGATAGAAGACTGAAATTTGGAAAACATGTAATGCAAACAGCCCTAATTACTAGAGAAGTCTGAAAAGTGGACCTTTTTATGTCTTTCACATAAAACTTGAGGAATAAAGTTTACATTATAATAGCAACTAGTGCTCTCAACAAAAAAGCAAAACCAAACCACACATGATGGAGTGGAAAAGGTTTCCCCTTGTACACTTGAGTTTACCTTGGATCAAAGGAAAGGAACTTTCCATGGGCAGCCAGAGGAATGCATCTATGCTTGGTTGCATATACCAAAATGCTTGGGTCTCAGGTCTGAAGTTTCACAATTGTTAAATTACTTCCCCAACTGCTAGAAGGATCAGAATGTGGACATTTGCAGTTTGGGACATTCCATAATAACAGCCAACAATCCAGCAAAGTGCTGGCTAGTGACAGAATAGAGGAATATATGAATTTTACATTTACAGGCTGGAAAAAGCTTCTGATTGGGTGATGGTGGGGTTTTGGTGGCAGCCAGGAATGCATCTGCCTGCCGAATGCTATGTTCACTGATGCATCGCATCCTTTTTTTAAAAAAAATGCTGTTTCCACAGAGAGCTTGAATGTGCCTTTAACCATACACACACACTGTCATAATTGTTCTAATCTTGCATTGGTCGGCTTTTTTATCACAGCACTTTGCTTAAACATTCAATCTGATGATCTGTGTTACCTGCTAAAGAATTGCCCAGATCCACCAAAAAAGTTGGTAAAAGAAATAAATAGAAGAAAGTTAATTGAATTTAAATTATTGAAGCATGTCCATAAATTAGAAGGTTAATCAAACATTTAAGGGATTGTTAAAGGTAAAGGTAAAGGTTCCCTTGCTCGAAAGCCAGTCGAATCCGACTCTAGGGCTGCAGTGCTCATCTCCGTTTCAAAGCCGAAGAGCCAGCGCTGTCCGAAGAAGTTTCCATGGTCATGTGGCTGGCATGACTAAACACCAAGGCGCACGGAACGCCGTTACCTTCCCACTGAAGTAGTACCTATTTATCTACTTGCAATTTCTTGCTTTCGAACTGCTAGGTTGGCAGGAGCTGGAACTAGAGACGGGAGCTCACTCCGTCATGCAGCACACTCGGGTCTCGAACTGCTGAACTACCGACCTTCCGCAGCCTGCAGTTCACTTGAGCCACCGCCGCTCCAAGGGATTGTTACACATTTATATATTAATAGGAAGATTTCCTCCAACAATTTCCAAAATTGCTTTATAGATAACATCAGTTTAATGTAAACTTAATTAAAATCAAATGCAGACATTCCCAGTTCTTCATCCTTCTTTATACTTTTCAGTGTAAAACAAAAACTATCTCTATGCACCCAGTCCTTCTCTTCAAGATGTCAATATCATAAATATCCTATTATTTGCTGTTAATCAATAGTTTTAAGAGTAATGTTAATGAAATTATACCTGTGAAGTGTAATATAACCATCACGATAGCAAAATAATGCATGGTATTGTATAGAAAGCTTTGTCCCGAAAGAGAAGAATACACCAAAAAGTTCTCATGCACGAACAGTGTAGAAATTTATGGGAGAGACGAGCATTTTTGTGCCTGTTACATCACTACATGACAAAAATAATTGGTAGGGCTAGGCCTGCCTCTATATTCTCATCATATGGTTTCATATATCCTGTTCTTTACCCACCCGTTCATCTCAAACCCCACATGTGTGGTTTATGCCTCTCGGTTGGGGTTGTACCTGTTCTTTAGGAATAAAACACTAGCCCATTTGAAAAATATGAACCCTCTGTTGGACAATAGAAATTAGCTATGATTGGGATTATTGTGTTATTCTACAGAACTGCTTTGTGTTGACTTATGACATGGAGATGTATTGCTAAAAATATCTAGTTCCATCTTGCACATGTGGGGTGAGGAACTCAACACAGAGAGGAGAAAGCCAATCACAGCACATGGCAATCCACCTAAATATTTGGACTTGGCTATACATCTGTTTTAACTCTCTAAACCGCTATTAATCCATCTGTCTTTTGAGATTTGCAACTAAAGTCCTGCTTAGAATCTAATTCTAAGAAGTTATATATGTTGTGGACATATCAGAGCCTTCTTGGTTGTGGTTACTACCTTTTGGAATTCTTTGCCCAAGGAGGTTCACCTGAACCCAGGGTTGGAGTTCTTTGATCTGAACTGGCCAAGATCGAGATTGAAAGAGAGCTCAGGGTTGTAGTGGATAGCTCAATTAAAATGTCAACTCAGTGTGCGGCAGCAAAGAAAAAGGCAAACTCCGTGCTAGGAATTGTTAGGAAAGGGACTGTAAATAATATAATTCTCTTATACAGAGCTATGGTGCAGTCCCATTTAGAATATTGTGTACAGTTCTGGTTGTCATATCTCAAAAAGCATGTTATAGAGCTGGGAAAAGTGCAGAAGAGAGCGACCAAAATGATTTAAGGGGATGGAATACCTTTCCTGTGTGGAAAAGTTAAAGAGTCTGGGACTTCTTGTTTTAGAAAAAAACAAGGTGACTAAAGTTAGGCGACATGATAGGGGTTTATAACATTATGCATACAATAGAGAAAATGGTATTTAGTCAGCAAGTAATTAAATTGTAGAATTCACTGCCGTTGTCCACTAGCATAGATGGCTTTAAGGGGGAATTAGACAATCGTGGAGGATAGGTCTGTCAATGCCTACTTGTTGTTGTTCAGTCGCACAGTCGAGTCCGACTCTTCGCGACCCCATGGACCAGCTCCCGCCAGGCCCTCCTGTCTTCCGCCGTCCTCTGAAGTTGGCTCAATGGCTACTAGCCATGATGAATAAGGGAACCTCCGTATACAAGGTCCTTTCCACACTAGACCTTAAATCCTGGTTCAACCCTGTCCCTGAACTTACATTCTACACTACACGCGAGTTCACCCCTGTAATTATCTCAGGATATTTTTTGTTTCCACATTACACTAAGGTCGCCCCAGTTTTGCCCCACACTTGTCCCAGGATAAACGGATGCTGTTATAACCAGGGATAAACACAAGGTATTGTGTCGTGAGTTGAACTCTGATAAAATCAGGGATGAGATCCAAGTGCGGAAAGGATCACAGAGGCAGCAAACCTCTGGATACTAGGGGAGCAGGTCTCCCACTATAGTGGGATGACATCACTTCCAGTTTTTTACCCAGAGCATCTCTGTAGGATTCACCCAAACTCTATGATTTAACTGTAGAGTTTCGGGTGAATCCTAGAGCATCACCCTGGTGCAATGATATCACTTCCGATGTTTTGCTGGAAGTGATGTCACACATTGATGTGATGTCAAGAAGATTGGCTCTGCCCCCAAACTCTCCTGGTGGGTTGCCAACCCTACTGAACACCAATGTTAGGAGGCAGCATCAGGGAAAAGGCCTTGGCTCCTAGGCCCTGTTTGTTTACCACTGTAGTTTGCCACTGTGAGAAACAGGATTAAACTATATGGACCTGGTCTGATCCAGCAGGACTCTTTGTATGTTGCGAGTTTTAACAAGAGAAGTATAATAGCTTAGTTTTAGAAAGCTAGTAGGACTCTTTTATTTAGTATTGCCTTATTTATTAAGTATTTATTTATGGCTTATGATTTCTTATGGGTGATTTGTTTTTTTGGCTCTGCCCTTCTTTTATGTCACATCATTGTGAGTGTGAAGACAGAGAACTCAGAGAGCAAATGTGGTGTGATCTTCTGTGCTGTGAACCCAGTCTCACAGTGTGCATGAAAAGCACACATAACAGCAAACTAAACCCTAGTCTAGCCATCAGTCCTGTCCTTCCCCTGAAGCTTATGGTGGCTGGCCACTTTTTTGGTGCGGGGAGATGACGCACCTGCACAATACATGCACATGTACACACACCCCTTCTGATGATGTCATGTGTGCTAATGCGCCAGTGGTCCTCACAGTCACAGCTCAACTTGGCAGAGGGAAAGCATCTTTGTTCTGAATGCTGTTAAGATGCTGCTTTGAACTCAGCCCCTTTGCTTTAAACGTGATCTGTCTGCCTTCCTCCTGAAATGTGCCAACCAGTGTTCTTCTAAGCTGAGTTTAGTGTGAACGAGCTCACAGTTTTTTAGCCTCCGGCTCACGCATTTTTGTCTTAGCTCAGAAAGGAGGGCTCCAGAGCAAACTAATGTATGCAGCAGCCCAATCGGTCACTCACAACTTTCATGCCAGTAGCACACAAAGTAGAATTTCTGCTCACAAGACTCCACAGCTTAGAGGGAGCATTGCGTGGCAACATGACCTCTGATTCCTAGGAAGCCAGGTAAATCCAGTAATCTTTCCTACAAAGCCAAGTAATCCCACATTCTCTCCTCTCTCCTCCTCCCCGCCCAATTTCCCCCCAAAGCTCTGGTTTACACGCAGGTGACAGTGTCACAAAAACTGGACCCGGGGGCCTTTCAGACATGAGACAAGTGCCAACTGTTGTGATCGAATGTGATGACAATAAAGAAAATGTGCCTCACGAATCCGACTACGAAGATTCTTCCTGCCTCTACACGAGAGAAGAAGAGGATGAGGACGAAGAGGAAGATGACGAAAGTTCTTTATTTACAAGTAAGGCATTGTTTACACTTTTTTGCACCTCCTTTGCGCTCGTTACAAAAGAAAGAATAACATTTAAGAATATAAATTTTAATGTTTAGCTTTTAGTTGAGGGCAGTAATGGGGGGTTGTGACTGGCACCCTCTCTTTCTTTCTATGGCACCCGCATACCCTCCCCTCCCCTGCTGTGCAGGACAGCGGTGTGGCCGGCAAAGGAGGAATTGTATTGCCATCAGGGATCGGTTTAATTTACTATTTCTGTTGGTGCTTTTAATTGTGCATTAGTTCCATTTTAAATGTTTGCAAGGTTGTAAATTGCCCACAGCCTGCTTGCAGGGTGGGCGATTCATAAGTCCAAATAAATAGATAAATAAAAGAGCCCTCCTGGATCAGGCCAGTAGTCTATCTAGTCCAGCCTTCTGTTTCCCACAGTGGCCGGAGTGATGTACAAGAAGTCCCGCAGGAGGGACACAGAGGCTATAAGCTGGATGTGCTGGTGCGCCCCGGGAACTGACATCCAGAGGTATACTGTCCCCCAACATACAGGTCTCTTTCAACCATCGTGGCTAATAGCCATTTATGAATCCATCAAATTCTCCATGAACCTGTCCAGTTCTCTTTTAAATCCATCTAATTTAGTGTCCATCACCACATCCCAAGGTAGTTCTCCAGTTAAATTGCATCTTGAGGGAAGAAGTTGTTTCTTTTGTCTGTTCTGAATCTACTGCTAGTCCATTTAATTGGGTATACCCACATTCTAGTATTTGGGAAGAGAGAGAAAAATTTCCCTCTATTTATTTTCTCCTTACCATGTATAATTCTGTGAACTATCATGTTTTTCTCCATCTGTTTATCCAGCCATCTGGGGGGGGTGGGTTCTAACCTGAAAAGCCCCAAACTGTCTTGCCTTTCCCCCAATGCAACCCTTGTTAGTTTTCATTCTCCTTTTCTGCATCTTTTCCAGCTTTGTGATATCAGGTGAGATCAGAACCGCACACACTATTCCAAATGTATGAGGGCATGACTACACTGGAAGTTTTATTTTCAGTCTCTTTCCTAATAATCTATAGCGTAGAATTTGCCTTTGTTCACCACCGCCATACACTGAGTTGACCTTTTATTGAAATATCTGTTACAGCTTCAAGATCACTTTCCTGATCAGTCACTGCAAATTCAAACCCCATCGGATAAATATATAAAATTAGGATTTTTGTCCCAATCTGCATGTTTTTACTCTTAGGTCCCTGCCACACGGCAGGAAAAACACCGGGCAAAGTGCGGCAAATCAGAGCCGCACCAAAGTAGAGACGCCGCAGCGGGATCCCATGGATCCCCTGAGCCGCGGCGCCGTTGCTCCCCGACACGATCAGATGCCGTGAAGGAAGCTACCGTCGGGAGGGGGAGCCTGCCGAACTGCGCGTGTGTGAGCATGGCTTTGATGCGGCCTTCCCGGACGAACCACCATGGTAGGTGGTTCATTTTTGCTGCGGGGTTTTGGGCGGAAGGGCCGGATCAGGAACGGGCGCACAATGCTTCCCAGATGTTGCGGTGGGATCGTGCCCGTTTGCTGCGGCCCCGATCCATCCCTCTCCCGGCCCAAAACCTCTCGTGTGACCGGGGCCCAAATTATTTTTTAACTTCAATTGCAACGTCATTGCTCAGTCACCCAGTTTGGAGAAATCCTCTTGGAGCTCTTCACAATCTGCTTACTAATAATTTCAGGTGGGTAGACGCGTTGGTCCGAAACAGAAGGACAAAGTTTGAGTCCGGTGGCACCTTTAAGATGAACAAAGCTTATTCAAAGTATAAGATTTCGTGTTCATGCACACTTCTTCAGATATCTGAAGCTTATACCTTAAATAAACTTTGTTTAACATAGTAATAAGTTGGTGTTCTTCGTAAGCATAGCAAATTTATCGCTTACCCCCAGTCCTATGTCATTTATCAACAAAAGGAATACCATCAGCTCCAGTACTGATCCTATGGCTTTCTTCCCTCCATCATGAAAAGTATCGTTTAACCTAGGGTTGCCAACCTTCAGGCGGGTCTTTGATTAAGAGTAGACATAGTCCCAGTAACAGAAGGAAACAACAACAAGGACCCAGCAACCCTAGAGAGTAGAACAATACAAAAAAGTTGCCGAACAAGTTCAATATACTTATGCAAAATATTAGTAATTTAATACATATTCTTTTTGTTTCAGTAGCTGCACATCCAGAGACCAAAGTCCCAACAAGACGAACTTGCTCGAGATTTTAGCTGTTCGTTTCGACCAAAGTCTTTGTCACATCTCAGTTTGTAGTCATTCTTTCTGTTCACAAAGTCAGTTCACAAGTGGCTGAACACAGCTCCCGATATTAGAATTGTTCTAATATTCTAATATCAGTGGGGAGCTGTGTTCAGCCACTTGTGAATTGACTTTGTGAACAGAAAGAATGACTACAAACTGAGATGTGACAAAGACTTTGGTCGAAATGAACAGCTAAAATCTCGAGCAAGTTCGTCTTGTTGGGACTTCGGTCTCTGGATGTGCAGCTACTGAAACAAAAAGAATATGTATTAAATTACTAATATTTTGCATAAGTATATTGAACTTGTTCGGCAACTTTTTTGTATTGTTCTACTCTTCAGCTCCTGCCAACCTAGCAGTTCGAAAGCAAGAAATTGCAAGTAGATAAATAGGGACCACTTCGGTGGGAAGGTAACAGCGTTCCGTGCGCCTTGGTGTTTAGTCATGCCGGCCACATGACCACGGAAACGTCTTCGGACAGCGCTGGCTCTTCGGCTTTGAAACGGAGATGAGCACCGCAACCCTAGAGTCGGATTCGACTGGCTTTCGAGCAAGGGAACCTTTACCTTTTACCTTTAAATTGCCCAGAGCCTGCTTGCAGGGTGGGCGATACATAAGCCCAAATAAATAGATAAATAAAAGAGCCCTCCTGGATCAGGCCGGTAGTCCATCTAGTCCAGCCTTCTGTTTCCCACAGTGGCCGGAGTGATGTACAAGAAGTCCCGCAGGAGGGACAGAGGCTATAAGCTGAATGTGCTGGTGCGCCCCAGGAACTGACATCCAGAGGTATACTGTCCCCCAACATACAGGTCTCTTTCAGCCATCGTGGCTAATAGCCATTTATGAATCCATCAAATTCTCCATGAACCTGTCCAGTTCTCTTTTAAATCCATCTAATTTAGTGGCCATTACCACATCCCAAGGTAGTTCTCCAGTTAAATTGCATCTTGAGTGAAGAAGTTGTTTCTTTTGTCTGTTCTGAATCTACCGCTGGTCCATTTAATTGGGGGTACCCACATGCTGGGAAAGATTGAAGGTCAAAGAAGACGGGGACGGCAAAGGATGAGGTGGTTAGACAGTGTCATAGATGCAACGAACATGAAATTGAGCAAACTTCAGAGGACGGCGGAAGACAGGTGGGCCTGGCGGGCCCTCTCCTCCATTTTGTCCTCACAGTTCTCCAGAGCCTCTTCTTTCTATCCTAGGTTCCCTGGCAATGAAAGTCTGCAGGAAAGATTCTTTAGCCATCAAACTTAGCAACCGGCCTTCCAAACGAGAACTGGAGGAGAAGAATATCCTCCCCATGCAGACCGATGAAGAGCGGCTCGAGCTGAGGCAGCAAATAGGGACCAAGCTGACCAGGTAAGAACCAAGCAGTTTCCTTCTCTTCCCATAAGATAATTGATGGAGGAAGGGCCCTGAGCAAGTCATCTTTTCATTCCTGTCATAATGGGCATGCAGGGCCGGCTTGAGGTGTTTCTGTGCCCTAGGCGAGGCTGCCTTGTGGTGCAGATGCCAACCTCCCGGTGGGGCCTGGAGACCTCTGGAGCCAGCCACCCTTTTGCTACCGCCACCACTGCCTCCCCCCCGCAGCTGTCAGACCCAGCGAGCACGCCCCACATGTTCCTGCAGCGCCCTCCAAGATGGAAGAGAGATTTCTCTCGTGCTCCAGTTCCGAAGGCAGTTTGGGAGGGAGGTGGGGGGGGATCCTGTCTCCAGGCGGGGGATGCTCACTGGATGCCTCTCCCCAATTAGCGAAGTGCTGACACTTGGAGAGCTGCTTGCGGGCTTTTGGCGGCGGGGGGGAGGCACAGCTCGGCGCCCCAGCACTCTAGGCAAATGCCTAGTTTGCCTAGTGGGTGAGCCGGCCCTGTGGGTATGACCCAGCCAAAAGAAATATCCATTGTTTTCAAAGGGAACATTAAGCAGATGCTTAACCCTTTCCCGTTGAAATCGGTGGGACTTTAAAAGGCTTCCGTTTGGCTGGATTTTACCCTGTGGAACGAAGTATGATCTTGTTGCTAGTGAATCCATCTGGAAAGCTGAAAAGAGAGATCAAGGCTTTGTTCCTCAATTTCCGTTCCAGTCTTACTTCCCTTTCATCACCACAGCAAATTTACAATGGTCAGCTTCTATCTGCATCCTACCGTGCTGCTTCAAAGCACAACAAAAAACGCTTTTCTGTTCTTCTCCGTATCCATACTCGTTGACGGATAAAATTCAGGCTTGCTCCCAACGTTACAAAATTCTGGCAAGAGGAATTAATGTGCACACATTAATTATTTCCTTTTGAAGGAAAAGACTTGCAGTGTTTCTCCAGCTATAATCTTTACTGCTTCTAGGAGGGGATTTTTTTACTACTTTTCAAAGTTGCATAATTAAATGTGCAAGTTTTCCTAAATGCTCTCTGCCAATTCATAAAAGACATGTTTTTTTTCTTCAAAGATTTTGCTGGCGCTAGAATAAAACAAAAACAGCATTCACATGGGGAGCAGAAGGCATTGCTGGCATATGATGACATATATCACACCGGAAAATGAAGTAGTAGATAAGCCCAAGATGGTACAATTGATGTTATTAGATCCTGTAATAGTGAATTGTCCTGATCGGGGAGATTAGATTTAAATTTTAGTTTTCAGTCTGTGCTTCCTGCATTTTGTCATCTCTTGACCCTATTGTCTGCTTGATTTTTTTAAACCTCCTAAATAAAATGGATACAACATGAGAATCCACTCATAGCTCTATTCTGTGAAAACTTATGCTGGAATAATATTTTGCGAGTCTTTGCAGCCAGATTCCTGTTTTGTTGTGGTGCTGTTTGTTGCTGCTGCAACAACAGACTAACACAACTGCCACTCTGTAATGATTGGTACTGAAGGAGAATTCTGAGTGCAGAAATCAGAATAGTATTGTGCAAATCTGGTCCAGATACATATTTATAGCACCGTATCATTCCCTCCTGATTACTCTTTTCAGAAAAGAGGCACTAAGAAAATAGGAAGAGGTAATAGCCCTTGCTTTTACAGTGTGCTTCTATAGCAACCAATGAACTACACAGCGTTGAATAGAGAGCTTGATTCTGATTTGAGAGGGCACTGCACACTGGATATAGGAAACTGCCAACTCATATGAATTCTGACTATTGGTTCAGTATTGGCTTCTCTGCCTGGCAGCGTCTGTCAAAGACTTTAGACAGAGCCCTGTTACCAGAGATTCTTTAAAACAGAGACTGCACCCTGGGACCTTTAGTGTGCAGAGAAAAGCGTATGTGCTGCTATGGAGCCATGGATCCTCCCTTGATTTCATAGCACCAGCCGCTCCTGTGAATGCCACCGTGTGTAACAATTTGATAAATCCATTAAAAAGTCCATGCCAAGAAGGGTGGCACTTTCGCAGGTGGAGGAGCTGGCTTTGGTGATGGGATCAAGGGAGCAGTGTGCCAAGGCTTCACCCTTCATGGCAAGCATGCTGCCATGGCGAGGTGGCTGCTTCCCAGCCCTTGCAAGACTGGTAGACCTCTCTGTGTGCTGGGCAGGAAGTTTCCCTGCTCCCATTTCTATGAATGATGGAACCTGATCCTAAATACCAATAGGTATGCCTTTGTAGTACTTCCATAACACCCCTGCAACTCCAGCAAAATCCCATGCGATTGTGATGCTCCAATTTAATTAATTAACCAATTTAGCATTTGGTATTAAGTAAGTATTCGCTGGCACAGCATTCTTTTTATACTGCTCGGTCAAATTCTTTGTTCTCTAGTAATATTTCCAGAGCTTCATTATCACATCTGTCTTTCCCTGTTCCTCAGGAATGGTCATATAATGATTCAGATCTCAAGCTAAATTAAGGAACTGGACCTTGGGAGAGAGGCAAAAGACACATTATGATTGCAGCTGGCAATTTTAATAATGTTTTTAAAGCTTTTGTGCCATTCTAACAAAATTCCCTGCAGTCTTGGAACAACCATCTGATTAAATTACCTGGATTATTTGCAGAAAGAGCAAAAAACACAGAACAAAAAGAAACGTATATAGAAGATTTCCTTAGGAAGCATTTATTATTGTCAGCATTGAACTAGATTTTCTTAATCCTGCGGTGGTGGGGGATTTAAATATGTAAATGTTCATACAAATCCATGTTAGCTCAGTGTTGTTAACGGAGGTATTTGGCAGATCCAAATTAGACACTGTGAAAAAGAGAAGTTGCTATGATCAAAAGAATAAAGCAACTTTAAAGTCTGTATCCCTGACATTTTGCAAGGACAGGGAGTGATTTGTTGTTGTTAAAAGAATTGGAAACGGAATCTGAAATAGGCTAGCCAGCTCCAGGTTGGTAAATTTCAGTAAATTTGGGGGTGGAGATTGGGGAGGCACCTCAGCAAGGTATAATGTCATAGGATCCACCCTCCAAAACCTTTCTAGGGTTGCCAAGTCCCTTTTGCCTGCTGGCGGGGGAATGGGGAGGGGGCGTTCCGGGAGTGGGAAGTGTTGCCACCCACCATTCCCCTGAAATAGAAACATCGCACACAACATGCCTGTATCACCCAGAAGTGACGTCAGCCTGTGGGTGACGCTCTAGATTTTGAGCAAAACTCTATGGTAAAATCAACATCAAACCGTAGAGTTTTGCCCAAAATCCAGAGTGTCACCCAACCCTGATGTCACAGACATGCCGATGTCACTTCCAGGTGATGCAGGCATGTGTCATGTGATGTCGCTGTTTTGGGGAGCATTTCCTCTGGCCAGTACCAAGCAGGAGCCCGAAAAATCGGGGGATCCCCCGTCCCCACCGGGCAAATGGCAGCTCTACTGTTTTCTCCAAGCAAATTAATCTGTCGTCTGGTGATCCGATGTGATTCCAGAAAGTCTCCAGGCCCCATCTGGAGGTTGTCAGTCTTGATATGAACTAATCCTAGGAGAAATTTTTGTAGGGTTTTTTTTTTATCCATTTGCCAGCTGATAGTGGCTGGGGTATGATGGGAGAGTGCTACAAAGGAAAGAGGCGAAGGGTGTAGCAGTGAAAAGGGACAGGAACCACCAGCCTGCTCTGGCATCTCCCAGCTGGAGCCCAGGGTGCATTTAATGGGAAAGTTCAGTGGTTGTTTCCAGTTCACTGCCTGGGCACACTTTTTAAATAGCTGTGTCTGTCCTTATAACAGGTTGGTGTGAATTTTTACGATCCACGCATTTTATAACAGTAAACATTTTAGTCTATTTGTTTTCTTTAATTTTCTGGGGACTGCAGCCAGATATGTTAACAGAGTCAGTCCTCTCCCTCCCTCCCTCCCTCCCTCCCTCTCTCTCTGTCTCTCTCTCTCTCTCTTATGATTTCTGGGGAATTTTCAGCCCCGTACCCAGAAAATTTTTGTTAGGGGGCCCCAAGGGGGCAGTTTAGTACAGCAGAGCTGACTACATCACAGAGGGGGTTGTTGTTAGGGAAATATAGAGGAGAAGGAAGATGGCTAGGTAAGAGGTGACAGGTAAAAACGGGGGGGGCAGCACCTGAGGCAGCTTGGAAATAATAGAGAAAGGTCAGGATTTGTGTCTGGAAGTTGCATTCTCTCTGAAGCACTGTACATTGCTCCAGAATCAAAGCCTACTCCTCAGAAGGTCCAAAATGTCTGGCAAGTGTTGCTGAAGGAGCTGGGAGAGCCCCTTGAGGTTTTACAGACACAATCTGGTTCCGCTGGCTAGCTAGCTAGCAGCAGGACAGTAACCTCCTGAGCAGCCCCTTAACCTCTGGTGCCATCGGGCTATTCTCCTCGCGTCCCCTTCCTACCCCCTCCTCTGCCTTTGCAGGCAATCCGAGATGAGAGCAAAGACAGGAACTTCCTCCTGAGGCAGATCAGGCATTACAGTTGCACAGGCAGCAAGCCGCGTGTGGGCTGATGATGCGCTTTCTCTCCCCTGGCAAGTCAGGTGGGTGCTTCACAGACAGGGAGAATGGGGAAGGCAAGGCTATTAGGAAGGGCACTCGTAGGCACCCCCGTGCATATGTGTTCATACAAATCCATGTTAGCTCAGTGTTGTTAACGGAGGTATTTGGCAGATCCAAATTAGACACTGTGAAAAAGAGAAGTTGCTATGATCAAAAGAATAAAGCAACTTTAAAGTCTGTATCCCTGACATTTTGCAAGGACAGGGAGTGATTTGTTGTTGTTAAAAGAATTGGAAACGGAATCTGAAATAGGCTAGCCAGCTCCAGGTTGGTAAATTTCAGTAAATTTGGGGGTGGAGATTGGGGAGGCACCTCAGCAAGGTATAATGTCATAGGATCCACCCTCCAAAACCTTTCTAGGGTTGCCAAGTCCCTTTTGCCTGCTGGCGGGGGAATGGGGAGGGGGCGTTCCGGGAGTGGGAAGT